CTGATGAAAAAAACAGCACAAAACTTAACTCTGATCACAGAACAGTACAGAAAGCATGACATGCACATGATCGCGGCTGTCTCGATGGACACCTGTCTCCGTGGTGACAACCTTGGGAGTTTACATGGAGGACAAAGTAGAAACATGGACCTGAGACTGTGTGTGTGTGTGTGTGTGTCTTTGTATGCATCATGAAATGCATCCTCACGTGTTTGTCGATTTCTCTATGTTTATTAATTAGCCTGCATGTTTCCACACCTCAGTGAGATTCAGATGAGTCTGCATACCTGCACTGTTTATGCCAGAGTGAGCTTGTTTGTGTGTCTGTGTGTGTCTGTTTACCAGTTTCTGGTGGTGAACTTCATATTCAGTGCTCTGTCTGTCCTCTGTGTCCATCCGCAGCTCAGGGAACACTTCCATCTTCATTCCAGTCACTGGCAAAGCGAAGGAAAAAGTACTGTATCCATTATGGATGGTGACACTCAGCCGCTTTCTCATCCCTCACACACACAAACTTGCTGAAATCAAACTCGCTGGCTCGAGCAGGACTTGACAGCGCTGGAGGAGCACTGGATGTTACCAAGGCATGAAATGAATATGGCGCATACAGCACAGCATTTGCAGTATGCATAGACCCTGCCGCTGCATCAGAAATCCCCTGACAACCGCAGCGGGCGCCTAAATGGAGGTCAAGTGGAGCTGGCTGTGGGCAAATAAAAGCGGAAGGAGGGCGACGTGGCAGAAAAATATTTTCCTGACTTTACTCAAGTTGTATGATGGATCTCAAGAATAGAGCTTCTTATGTATTTATAATTTAATCCTATGGCTCATATGTGGCCTCCAGTATGGCCACCAGGGGGTGCGTTTCTTAATATCGAGCTGTTTCAAGCACAAGTAAGCAAACACTGATATGGAGTTCTAAAGAAAGTGCCACAGTTGCTGTAGCAACCTGATAAGGACAATGTGACAAAGTCAACAGTATAATATCCACAGGCCCTAATCCCCGTCTATCTCATGATCTAAATGCATATTCAAACTTAACATCACAATACGGGAGAACTTTTTAAACAATAGAACCAACCTGGTCGTGTGGGAATGCCTCTGTCAAGATTAGGGCGAGAGTCCACTGGCTCAACTACAAGGAGAGAGAGAGATTTAACTTTTAAATCATTTTGTTTGCAAGCAATGTTTAGTCCTTCAAGGCCAAAAGAGGAATGCTGACTACCTCGTAGCATTTTTGTTTGTAATGTCAATCAACCTTGAAACAACCAAACTGTAGCTGCTGCTCTCTGCTGATGTTATTCATGTTTATGCGTCCGTACGTACCCTGGTTCTCGGTGTTGGGCTGGTTGAAGCTCTCAGGGTGAACGAAGCCGACGCCTCCCAGGCCCAGAGTGTCTTCCTGGGGCAAGAAGTCAGTCTGGCCGTCTCCCAGCTCCTGGTCGGGCATCAGGGCGTCGTTGCCGTAGCTCACCCTCACGTCTGTCTGCAGGTTGGCCAGCTGCTGGGCCATCTCCGCCTGCTCCCTCTGCAGGAGCTCTGGATGGACAGACATGAGGAGGAAGGAAGGAGAGGTGAGAAGCAGCGTGCGAATTACAAAGTGGCTTTCGGAGGGGCTGTTTTCTGGTGGCATTGGATGGCAACGACGTCAAATGCAGGATATCATAAAAAATATTGTTAGTATGTCTTTCCTTGTAACAAAAATTATGTTTCAGGATGACCATTTTCTTTTTTTACTTAGCTCCCTGTAACTCGAATCATAGGCAAATTCTGTCATTGTAAAATATTCTGTATGATGAAAGAAAAACATATGTGGTCATCAGAATATAGAACTGCCAGTGTGTATATTTCTGCTGAAAGAAAATCATATTCTACGCAGTGACTCATGAACATAAAGCCTCCACGGAATGTTAAGTTCAATTTCTTTATTAGACCTGGTTCCCAGTAATGTCTGAATGGCCGAGTGTGTTTGCTCCTGTGGGTGTGTTTTGCCGGGCAGCACAGACTGTGACAGTCTCCAAGACAGAAACACAGATGGTTGCGTGACGCACGCAACTCCAGTAAACCCAAAAAACCCACAGAAACCTAATGCAGGGACATTTGGGGGAGGAAGGGAGGATTTATCTTCCCGGCAGTACAGTTTCATTTGTTTCTGAACAGAGGGATTAGGACAAATTGCTCCAATGCCCTTATCAACAAATAAAATGTATTTTCCGGGGGCTGGAATTTGGAGCATTTTCTCCATCGCATGTAGCACAACCAGGACAGTTTGTCTCCTGCCATATCTCTCTGGTGTCAGGGTCAGCAGTTACACAGTGAATATGAAACACAGCCAACATTCATGTTAACAAGATCTAGGGTTGTGTTCAATCTGAATTATTGTATTTTCTTGTCCCTTCATTAAATGCTCTTGACTTCCACCAGTCTTGTTTTCGCTTCTATTACATTATGCTAGTCTGGATATTGGATTGATTTTTTTTTTAAGTGTCGAAATGACAAACTCACCGACTTGGTCCTGGATATCGTCGGCCACGCCGGGCACCTTGTAGAGAAGTCCCAGAGATTGGTTCATACGCTCCTCGATGACACGCAGGTGGGTCAGCACCTGTATAACACACATAAAATGTGGATTTTTGCATTGTGGTTAGATCGTAAAAAGTAGAATCATATAGTATAGATCTATAACTAAATGAACCATAAATGGAATGAATTTATCTTTCAGGGTTTTCAATCTCTCACAGCATACACACTGCTGGCACAGCGTTAAGGAATCAAAATCAACGACCCGCTCTGCCTCCTGAAATGAGGTTACCAGAGTGAACTTACCTGGGGTCTGATCTGCGCTGCCTTCTTGGGATCCACCATGCGGACGTGTTCAAAGTGTTTGAGGGTGTGCTGCCTGTCCTTCTGCTCGGCACGCACGTACTTCTTCAACAGGCTGAAGACGTGACGAGGCTGCAGGAAGAGACGGTGAGAGTCATGGATTTAAATGTGGTCTGGTTTAGTTATCATTTCACATTGGGGAATGGCAGGAAAATATTAAACTCTAAGGTTAAGTGAGTGTGGTAAAGAGTGGTAAAGAGTGGTCTGTGCTTATTGACTGTACCCTGGGTGGGTCCTGCTGCAGGGCAGTCAGGTAGCTCTCCAGAGCCAGACGACGGCGGTCGTTGAGCAGAGCCTCCACCCGGGCCATGTGGGTCTCCACCAGCTGCTGGCGCTCGCTGGCTGCCTCCTGCTCCAGCCCCTCCACCTTCTCCTGGAAACGCTGCATGAATACAAACACACACAGACACAACATGGAGCGGTGAAAGGGCACATGAGAAAAAAAAACTCTTGGGGTGATTTATTATATTGTCCGGTTCGTGCTCGTCTTACCTGGATGACAGCCTTCTTGTCAGCACGTGGAAGATTCTTGGCCTCCCTCTCAGCCTCCTCCCACTCTCTCATCACCTCAGGACAAAAAAGGAAGGAAACATTAATTACACTTGTCAATCAACTTTTATCTTTTCACAGGTTAATTTTACACTTGACCAAACATCTCATTGCTCTTTGTGCATATGGACGAGAGGCCCAAACAAAAAAGGTTTCTTTGCTAAATATCCGCATTACTTTGGACATTTTTCATGGCTTTCACTTCAGATTCTACATACTGATATATGGAAATTGTTTTGCTTCATATTCAAGGTTAAAGTGACATTAAGAGTCTCAAATTTAACTGTTCCTGTTGCTTATTCCTTCTCCTTTAACAATATGATTGTACATCCTTCCTCTGTTCCATCCTCTCTGACTCACTGGGGGAATTTCCATTATTCGGCTCGGGCCTCTTCAGACATGACCTAACAGTATCTGTGAGGGTGAAGTCAAGTGTGTGAAATCAGAGGACGCTGTGCCTGGAACTCCCCAAGCAAAACAAAGACACCAAAGTGGAGCACAAACTCCAAAAAAAAGGGTTGATCTGAGGGCCGTGGAAGGTTGTTAGAGTACGGAGTTTTGAAAACTGCGATGTTGCCGAGGACCATCTGGCTCTCTGCCGGAGAGCGAGCAGCTTGATTAAAGAATACAATTAAAGTCGAAATGGCTCAGTCGGCTTACCCGGGAGGGATTAACAAACGCACCTTTTCATTTATTACTCGCCACACCTCTTTCCTCTCCTTATTCTATTCATTAAAAAATCTTTTGTCCTCTTCCTGCAACAAAGAAAATCCTCCTTTCTGTTCTGCTGATCAGCTTTAAAATATTAACAGTAAAAAAATCCTTCCTCTCCCTTCTCCGTCAGTACCTGGGACATTCTCTCACGGTGCTTGGCCTCCAGGCTCTCCTTGGCCTTTTGGAAGTGGGCGTGTTCGTTTTCGTCGGTGGGTGTCTCTAGGTAGTGGTCCACGGCGTCTGGAGAGCTGGGCGTGGCAGTAGGTACTGCAGGGAATGGATGAGGAGAGAGAGAGACAGAGAGAGAGAAAGAGGAGGCAGGGAGGTGAAAAGCTTTTCACTGGAGCACCTTCTCTTTTTAGTTGGTCGGTCGGGGACACACACAAAACACAAGAGGCCGAAATGGGTTAAAAGGGTTAGTGCGAGACCAAAAGGAGAGATAAGACAAGAAGATAGCAGTCATAGCTGGAAGCCAGCACCTTCCAAAAGCAAACACGCCTCAGCTGACCTGTGGCCCTTTGTAGAAAAGAGACAAAAGACAAAAACTCATCTCTCACTTATATAACTTCATTCAAAGTGTGATTGTTGCTCTCCTGCCAAAAAAACACTGAGGCTGTGGGCTCCAGAGAACAGACCAAGCTGTGGTCGACTCGCCAGCGAACTGTATCATCTTATTATATTGTGTGAAACGTAGTTTTAATCAGCGGAAAGTTGATTATCTTCCATGAGTGTGCTGTTAAATGTGTTTGCCAGCCAGTGTGTGCATACGCGTGAAGGTCGCACATCATGTGAGATTGGTTATGTCTGATGAGAGAGCACAAGGAGAGATGTTTTCACTCTGACCCGGGTGTTGTGTCAGCCTGTGTTCCTCAAAACCATTTTTTTTTAAAAACAACTGTTTCCTCACTTCTTCTGCTCGTATCATGACAACGGTTTTATCCGCCCAGGATTAGAGATCATAGTCTGCAGTGGGTTGAGAGGAGGTTAAAATCTGTATTTGTCAGATAATCCAAGACTAAATTGTAATTTGGTCATTTAGTAAACCCTTAAAGTGTCAATCCATTACCTCAATTTTTTTCTTTTGGCGTTGCTGTGAGGCGTTCACAGCCATCGACTCTGCACTGTATATTTTTCACAAATCAAAGCACAGTTTTCCTTAGTCCCTATTTGCTGCCTGTTCCTGCTGCACCATTTTATATGGATGCCTTCCAAAAATCACTCAGTGAAACAAATTATTTAGCATAGGGGGTATGGAAATGTAAATTACTTTTTCTAAAAACTGCCACAATAGATAATAATAGATGCAGAGTCAAAAACATCAAAAATATCAATCCCCTGTGCCGCCACACGCAGATGTTGCATGAACTCCTGATTCAGGGTCAGGGTCTAACTTGGACTCCCACAAACAAGCAGACAATTACATGTAACAACTACTCTAAGTCTAAAATATGTCTTTTTATATTGAATATATTATATCATGTTTTTGCTCCACAACTATCTGGCAATGCCTACAAATTATCTCACGAGCCCCATGGGAATTAGGACTCTCAGGTTGAGAATTACAATAGTGAGAGTGGGAGAGATTTTTGGCAAAGACAAATCTTTCATTAACTGGACAAAGACTGAATTAATATAATGTGGGAGCAAAGGCAGATATAGAACAGATATAGAACAAAGACAGAAAAGTAGCTTTTTCTGTATAAGAATTACATGGATTATTATTATCATGTGATTATCTGTCATACGAATATATTTCATTTTACTCTAAGACCTACCGTGATTGAATGTTAATTGAACAGTTCACAACAAATGTGTGTTTGTCTGTGTGTGCGTGTGTTGGCGTGGGTTAGACACTGCAGCAGTTTCTCATTTCCACTATTCTACGCGGGGCAGAAATCCCTTATCACAAACACACATGCATATTAATACACACACAGAGGATAGAATTAGATCAAAATATAGCATGACTCCATTTTGCTGCAGGGCAGATCGCACGCACGCACGCACGCACGCACGCACGCACGCACGCACGCACAGTGTGAAATCAGCATCAGAGCCAAACACTCAAACCGCCTTCCGCTCCCCGCCATCACATACAGCCCCCATCTGCACACATGCACAGACACACACACGCACATTTCAAATCCAATCAGTTCCATTTGTGACTGAATGATCGGAGAAGTCTTTATTATTTAGAAATTCCAAACATATTGACAAGGTGGGAACCATCCTCCAGCTGTCCTCCCCATTTTCCCTGTAGCCGCTGCTAATCAATCATCACAATGTGATGTAGGAGGCAGGTATTCGCTGAGAGCACGTAATGATGTATTGATGAGTTCTTCCTTAACTGCTGCCTAAGAAACGTCTCACATCTTCAAAATTGCAGGAGGCTAATGTGACACCCGATTTAAGTCAATTGAACGTGTTCCCTCGGTGATAAGGAGGGAATAATGTAAGCAAGCCCGGCACGTGTCAGGAATGCAAAGGATAATGTGCCGTGATGTGAGGATTATTGCAAAAAATAATTCCTGCCTGGATGGTTTTACAGCTCGTTTTCATGCTAAAGTATGAGGCGATGCCAATGAAACGACTGTAATCGCAGAAATGATCATAGTTATTGTTCATGCTCTATAGGGAAACAACCGTGTAACCATGGTAATGTGAAAAAAATCAGTCAGCCACTGAAGCAAATTGTCCATGAAAATGACCACTATTACTGGAACATGCTGTTTGGCAGTGGTTCACTACTTTATTTAGCTTAGCAATCTCTTAAATCTATTTTATTTAACGTGCTTGTGCTCTGAGGGGTTGTGAGATGATTGATAGAAGAGGAAAGAAGAAAAATCAAAGTTCTTTTAAAAAAAGGTTTTTTTAAGTTTTTCTCCAATATTTGCTCTTGCTGTGACATTGGATCGTTTCAACATTTATTGAAATAACAGAGGGTAAAAAAATCGCTATTTGGTGGCACTGTTAGCAAGTCAGAGTGATATGAAGTGTGACCCTGTCTATACACTGTATTTGTATGAAGCAAAAAATGCTGGAAACCACAAAGCTTGTCATATTATCCATCGTGCAAAATCTAGTTCTTAAAGTAACTAGTAACTAAAACTGTTTATTAATGCAGTGGAGTAGAAAATACATACCGGTATTTCAAAAATGTATATATCTACTTGAGTAAAAGTACTGGGTGTAAAAGCAAAGGCGACAGTGAGTGCACAGGGGATCAGGATGGTGGCATCGAGAACCTGCAAAGGATTGTGGGAAAGGTAAAGTCTATTTTTAGTGCAAACAGCTTTGTTTGCTGAAAGTACCACACACACACAGACACACGCACACCGGCGAGGAATAAGTAAACGTTAGCTAGGACAGGAGTCGACAGGAGAAGCACACCAAGCGAGAACGTTCTGCTGTTTATACCAAGCAGACAGCTCGGTTGACAGCGAGGAAAGCTGAGGGAGAAGGACGAGCTGGAGAGGAAAACGACTACTACTGAGAGTGGCGAGCTGCCGGTCAGATGTGAGCAGGACTTACTGACGCTGCTGCAGACAGACAGGCAGTACTCCTCTGACTCAAAGTTATTCCTGTTGCCTCCGCAGCCGCCGTAGATAAACTGAGCACAGCGGCCGTCCTGTCGGTCAAAGTACCAGCGTGGCAGCATGGCCCGGCACGGACCAGTCTCTGCGTTGGCCCAGCACACATCTTGGATGACACACACACACACAGGCACTTGAGCTCACGATACACAATGTCAGGCTTTTTATCAAAGCCTTTGTAAAGATCTTGTGTTCACCTATAAAAAAAAAAGGACATGTTATAGAAATAAAATGCATGATGCTACAGAACAGGGTGTGTGAAGAAAGCCAGAACCGATTGTAAGAACAATTTAACACTGAAATGAAAAAACAAAGCTGGTACAACCAATTCTGATTCTAACGGAACGTAGCTAATGAGCGCTGTGAAATGACAAATGAGCACAATAAGAAAAATGACAGCAGGATATTAATTGGTGAGGAGTGTGAGGTTGGGCTGTGTCTAGAAAATCATGAAAAAATGTGCAAAACACATTTGTACATGTTGCAGCTTGTTCCACATTAATCTGAACCCAAAGAAACACGTCATCTGATCATGTTCACGAACCCTGTTAACTAAACCATGCAAGTTCCTCACCCCGGACAACTTCCTCCACAGACTCGGTGGTGGTAGTGGTGGTGGTTGTCATGGCAACGTTTGTGGTGGGCTCGTCGGCATCGTCGTCGCCGAGTGCGTCGATAATGTCGTCGTCACCATCCTCCTCTTCTTCCTCCTCTACTGCCTCCTCATCCTCCTCCCCGTCTCCGTCCTGGTCATTGTCAAGTAGATCCTCTTCCTCCTCCTCCACCTCGTCTTCCTCAGCCACCTCCTCTTCCTCTTCCTCCTCTACCGCCGCAGATGGCCTGGCTTCCTCTTGCTGCTCCACTGGCTCTGGCTCCCGCACCATACTGGGAGGGGAGGAGGGATGGGTAGAAAAGGGAAAGAAGGAAAGGGGGAGAAGGTGAGACATATGGAGCCAATGAGCGCAATTGTGTGAAGGAAAGACGCCAGAGAAAGAGGGATGAGGAAGACAAAGAGAATAAATGAGGAGGAGAGGACGGAGCCTCTAAATTATAACCAACCTGCAGTTGGCATTCAAGGACAGAAATGTTATCCTCATGCCAGCGTTGAAAATGAAAGTGGTAGAATCTATAATCATCCGAGCACTGATGTATGACTCTGCTGCTCCTTTGCCCTCATTTCTCTGTGTGTGTGTGTGTGTGTGTGTGTGTGTGTGTGTGTACCTGTTGTCAGAGTAGTCGGTCTCTGCACCGCCCCACCAGACATCAGAATCATCAGTGTCCTGCTCGGCGCTATCAGCTTCCCGCTCCGCTTCAGCGGGACAGCACACAAACTCCACACCTCGGAAACGGTCGATGCCACATGGCAACAGCATCCCGTAGTCATGGAGATTCATGGTGCGGTCTCCACAGGACTACAGAAAGAAAGACAAAGTAAGAAATAGATTAGTAGATTAGTAGACATTCATCCTCAACATCTTATAAAGGTGAGTGTACAGGTGCATGTCCTCACCTCCTTGGCTACAGTGTGCCAGTGCAAGTGGCTCTCACACTGATCCATGCGCTCCTGGTGCAGGAACTTGCACTTGTCCGGGACTAGCAGGGCATCACTCACAAATTCTCCCACTGCGGCAGCAACAGCATCCATTTTTAGAAATATTGTGCACAACCCGGACATATTTCAACAAACACTAAAAAACCCTAAGTGAGCATAGCCGACTCTCCTGACTCCTTGGTTGCTATGGTAACACCACCTTCTAGAAATGTTTTCCTAGCAAGTGCTCAAAAGTGTGAGTCAGTGAAATCACATAAGAGACTCACCCAGGCAGCGGTAGGGCACAACGATGTGCATGTGGCTGTGACACTGCTTGCGTCCCTTCTTGCACCAGTTCCGGATGCTGATTGGCTGGTTGGCCTCCACCACGTTGGTAATCTGGAGCTCTGGGTACACCTACAAACACAGGAATACACATTATATGATATATAATGGTGTCATGGCACTGCAAAGGTGAAAGAGAACAGGGTTTCCCTCTTCATCCATCCATCACTTACAGCCAAACCTTTTTAGCACCAACTCTACAGCGGGAGCCACAAATGCAGAAAGCGTGGATTCGCCCTCTCTGTGTCCTACACACACTTGCAAACGTGCATGATCCATTTCTCCTCCTACATTGCTCATTTTTATGGCATACATCTCTCGTCTTGCAGTCGTTTCTCTCTCAGAACCTCCTCTCCAACATCGCTTGCCGTCCACACTTCTCTCGGAGTTTTACAGCTAGTGTCTACAACAGAGAAGTCTGGTAATGCTGCTGGCATCGTTTTACTTTGAAAATCCCGGCACTGCGTTTTTGTCTGGACGGGCAGAAATATTTGGAGACGATAGCGTAGACACTTGCAACTGCTTGCTGATTGGGTCTTTTACTCAATTACAAACGTTTCTGACTCTGTTGTCTTTGCAAACACCTCTTGTGCAATGTGCAGTTAATTTCTTCTTTCTTCTTCTATTTTACAATGACATACTGTATCTGCTCACCATTGCAGCTGCTGTTTGTAGCCTCACAGCTCTTTCTGCAGGATCATTAATTTGGTGAAACATTCAGCGAATTTTGTTCTCCGAAATATTCTGCTCTTAACATTACCACAGTGCTTGTCGATGTTGTTTCTGCTTGGCGGACTCTGCTGTGTTTACCTCTGTGTTCTCTTCAGCCATGCATGACATCTGCACAATATTCAACATGTCCCTGTGCCCACACCTCTTCCCTCCTACTTCTCTACAACACCTCCTCCCTCCCTATGCACAAAAAACAACTCCATCAACTTCTTGGCTCCTTGTTATTCTTGCATTTGTCAAGCCGTGTGCTCCTGCTCAGCTTTGAGGGGGAAACGTTTCATGTCGTCTATTTTTCAAAGTTCAAATTCTGGGACCCGAGACAGATTTTTCCAAAGCATTTATTTGTCGTTGCTGGATTTGTTATTTGTGGTAACACAAGGAGGATGAGATAATGCTCCTTTGAGCTTGTCTTAAATACTTTTCAGAGAAACTCATAATGCATCACTTCCTCTTATCAGACAACTCCCTTTTAGCACTTCTGTCTTACATAGTGCAGTGATCGTCTACACTGCTCCCAAATGAAATTCTGCGGTAAATGAAAAAAATCATCTAGCACAAAAGTTAATCCATAGAACAGAGGCGCTCACTGTGTTGTGTTTGACCTGGTTAGCTTTCACCTAATAAACTAACCCAAGCTTCTAACATCAGGTCATATGGGCCTAAGCAGCTTGTTTACTGAGCAGAGTTCTGGCATCGTGTATTTGCACAAACACTGCAAAATAAAACTGTAAATCCCCTAGAAAAGAAAATCTCACTTGGTGCAAATTCCCCTCTCCATAAAGAAGCTACACTGCTACCTGCTCAGTCACTGTAATTTGCTCAGAGAGTGTCAGTTTAATGGCTTAAGTGTAAATCATCCGACTAAAATGTCACGACTGTAAACATTTATCATCTAGGATTATTTCTCGCTAAAAACTAAATAAACGGGGTAATTACTGTTTAAGAAATTCATATATCAACACGCACGCAGCTTGATTAGAGCCATTTTCAAGCTGTGAAGCCGTAACAAATCATGACGATTGATGAGGAAGATTGGTCTGGGGAGGAAACGACACCTCTTACCCCTGCTGCATCCAAAGACAAAAGCATTTCACCTTCACGATATTATCATTTCAAAACAACCCTGACATTCAGTATCTATATTCCCCACCTTAACTACACCACGTCCAGCTGCTGCTTGTTACATTACAGACACTTAAGATTCATATCAGCTTTAAAATGGTGTAATATCAGAGTTAATTGATTCAGGAGGGGAAATAAACAATTTTACATAAAAAAAACAGAAGGTGCAGCTCACACACACACACACACACACACACACACACACACACACACACACACACACACACACACACACACACACACA